GAAGGTTATTTTTTTTTAATCGAGTAATGAATTCAAATGCACACGTATTATTTCAGTATTACTAAAGTGAGAATAACTGAGACATACCATAAAATACCTTGACGTTAATTTTTTAATTACAAATACTTTAATGTATGAAAAGCACACTGGAGATAGATTGCTGGGCCATTTCTTTGGTATTTTTCAGTGAGAACAAAAAAAAAAGTAAATGAAGCTCACGAATCTTCAAGGTCCAGCTCTTCCTCCCTCACAAGCTGTATGGAAGACAAATGTATTCCAGTGGCGTTTCCAGGATACATACTTGGAGGGGCACGTAAGGGGCCAGGAACAAAAGTAGGCGGGCAGTTATAAAACATGTGTATTATACGTTTTATAACTGTGTGTGTGTGTGTGTATATGTATGTATGTATGTATATATATATATATATATATATATACACATACATACACAGGGCTCGACAAATTCCAGGTGCCAGGTCGCCATGGCAACTAGACTTTTCGCCCCGGTGCCTGGCATTTGTCAGCCCTTTGCTAAGCCGCGCAGGAAACATTTAAGCTGGCATCTCTGAGGAATTTCAGTGTCTCCATTTAGTGGATACACTAAATGGCAGTGCTGCACACTGCACCTTTAGCTGTCATATGAGGAGTGGCCAGTGGAGGTATCCTTAGGCTGTAATGTAAACACTGCATTTTCTCTGAAAAGACAGTGTTTACTGCAAAAAGCCTTAATGGAATGATTATACTCACCAGAACAAATACAATAAGCTGTGGTTGTTCTAGTGACTATAGTGTCCCTTTAAAAATGTGGTGCTAGACTCCACCCCAGCATTTAGCCACACACCGCCACACACCTATCTCGATAAACCACACCTCCTCCTAAACTGCTGAACTCTGCGAGCCTAACACGGTGTGTGTTACTTAACCTCTGATCCAATGAGATGCTACACCCAGGGCCAGTGCTTACAATTATGATGGCCTAATTACAGAATCTTACCGACAGAAAACACTAAAACAGTATCATGTATCTGATGGAGATGGTGCTGGAGGGTAGCTCACAGGATATAGCTATAAGAAAATACATACCCTATGCTAATCTCTCCCTTTCATCTTTCACCTAAATCCATACCCCCTAGCAGCAGTGTGTGGTGAAGCAGGATATCAGTGGGCGGGGAAAAAGGGTGGGCCACTGATGTAAATCACGTAACTAGAACCGCCCAAAAAGACAAACATGCCAAAAAAGCGGGCATGTCTGCACAAAGAATTAGATGGTCAGCCAGGCTGCCTTCTAATCATCCAGGATGACCAACAAAGGGCATACTGTGCAGACAGCACCCTGAGCTTATAATAAATATGTCTTATGATGCACTATCTCTACGCTTCTAAGGAATTTTCCAATCAGCCTTTTCCAGAGGCATGGGCCTGGAACTGCAGCTCCATCAAACCCCATGATAATCCGGCCCTGGTTACACTCTATTCAATATCATAAACTAATAATAATACAAATGCAGAAAAAGAAAACCTCCTTAAATAGTTGTAAAAAAATTATCACTGCCTGCAAACAGCCTGAAGCTTATTTTCTGAATTCTGAATTAATCTGTGCAGTGGTTAATAAGGAAGCTGGTTCGTGGTTGACTTCAGAAATGTCACAGAACGCAGTGTGTGTGTAAGTACTGCAGTTTTACGGTGCGGTTTTATATCTCCTATATAGTGATATGGGGCTCATATTGACTCCCACAAGGTTTTTATTTATTTATTTATTTTTAGCTATTTCATGTGGTGACTGGATTGTGAGTGCCACATAATTAACCCTCATGCCGCTGAGGGTTTTTAACTATTTGTCCACTGGTTGCTAGTCCTACTAGTGGGCAAACAGTTTACAAATTTTTGTAAAAATCCGAGCCTGGATTTGAAGCATATGGTCCTGATTTCAGCCGTCCGGTGGTGTTCAGTCCAGCTTAAATGTGGTCCAAATTCAGGCCCATTTGGGACTTCAATAACAAAATCTAGACATTGTCAAGTATTGGGAACAATATTGTCTGGATGTCACAGTCCGAATGGCTCTGTACACAGCTGGATGGTTTTGCCCAATTTGGTACAGGGCCAGTTGGACTTTAGTGAATAACCCTGCTAATATATATTTTTTAAATTCAGTTAATAATAACGCAATAATGCGCAGCCGTGATTAAGCTAGGCAATATTATAGTTGTTTTTGCATTTCAGTACACTAATAAGTGCATGGGTGAAATTCGCCTGAACCAAAAAGCCACATGGATGAATTTCAGTTAGTCTGAATCAAAAATCCTTTTCCACAAAATAATTTTTTTTTGCCATGCATTAGTGTAGTATTTTGAAGTGTATCACTTGTGGAAATGCACTACCACATCCTCACTGCTGTGTTAAATCAGAGAATTATTTGGGAAATAACTCGACCAGATTTACACGTCAGGTGCCTGTTATCACAAAATTCTAAGGTACTCCCTGCTTCCCTCGCTGACACTGGTCATAGCTCCTGACTCTTATTTATCCCCCAGCCCACTTAAGTTAAAAAAAGCATGTTATAAATACTGAAAACAGACACCCCTACAAGACATGCGCTTGTAGGCAGGTGCCTAGTCTGCCTAATGGGAAATCCTTCCTTGGATTTTGGCACCTGTAGACTACTGTGACTGTGAGGATTACTCTCTATCTCTCTTGGGCAGCAGCAGATGTGCCATGGGCATGGAATGATGACCTATTGTGATTGGCATAAACGGAATAGACTGTTATGGATGTTATGTTTGGTTCACATGCAACTTACTCTATGGTTTATTCTCTATTGCACGTGTTTTCTGTTGGGGTGTGTACTTCCTTCCTGTATCTCCTGAAACATGGCTGCTATACACTAATACCTGGCAGTGTCTTTATTTATATCACCTGAAACATAGACGTTAACTGTCTTGTTGCATATTTATACAACCATTTATTGATAGAGTTTTGTACTAATCACTGTGTCTTAAAATATAGTAGCAAGAATACAGCATTGTGAAATGAAGTCTTCAGTATAGAGAAAGCTCATCAATGTTCCTAAAATGGAAAAAAAAATATCTACTGTATTTTCTGAAAGTGTATGAACAGGAGTAAAGCAGGATGCCTGCCTAAAGATCACCCATGAATCACAATCACGTATACAAGTTCGGGAAAAACCAAGAGAACAGATGTGCAAGCAGAAAAACTGAAAAAGGAATAGGTCCCACTTGACTTATTACAGTGAAAATATCCTATATACCATGTTTGCAAAAATACTTGCTAATTTTGAGATATTTATATTGGTAAATATGGTCTCTCCTCCACCTGTCAATCAGTTTTCAGCATAGGAATCAATGTTGCATATTTAGTGACAAAGTAGAGCTGAAGAACCCTCATACATGCTGATTTCCTGCTCTGCTTTACAGTGCTATTCCCCCAGCAATTATGGGGTACATGGGAACTGAGTGAATGATGTCACTCCATTCTGATGCCAATGTGGTGGAATTCATGAGAGAAGTAAACGTATAACAGCTCCTTAAATAGATACATATATCACCAGGGTCAACTCAGCCCTTCACAGGGTCAACTCACTCCTTCATCCTTCCGAGGTCGATAAAATGAGTACCATCAATTGGGTAATAACATCTATTACTATTCAGCTGCCGATTTGGTTAATTCCTAGAGTGTGAGCTGAAAAGCGCTTTGAGTCCCACTGGGAGAAAGGCACTATATAAATACTAGTTATTATATGTCTTAATGATAAATTATATATTTACCTAGTTTTGATAGATATTATAGCATGACAGGTTCACATTAATGTTAAACATAAGCAATGGTACAAAATAATCTAAAGTCAGGTTCTGGAACACATTTTTATGTCTGTCCTTTTTCTGTTAGTCTTATGTACTTTGGTAACTTTTTTAACCAATAACCTATCTTACAAAGAATACCTAATGATGGTTTGTTTTTAAGGCTAACAGTTCAGTTTTTACAGAAATGATTTCATTCTTTTAAAGATGTGTTTGTCTGAAAGCCATAATGGGATCCAACATCTATCAGATGGATTTCTTTAAACTTAAAGTTAAACTTTGTTTAAAGGGACACTATAGTCACCAGAACAATTCAGCTTCAGGCCTTTTGCTGTAAACACTGTCTTTTCAGAGAAAATGCAGTGTTTACATTACAGCCTAGTGATAACTTCACTGGCCACTCATTAGATGGCTGTTAGAGATCCTTCCTGGGTCATGGCTGCCTAAAATGCATCCAACCATTCAGTGTCTCCTCCCTCTGCATGCAGACACTGAGGAGATGCTGATTGGCCAGGGCTGTGTTTGAATCATGCTGGCTCTGCCCCTGATCTGCCTCCTTGTCAGTCTCAGCCAATCCTAGGGGGAAGCATTGTGATTGGATCAGGCTACCACTTCTGATGATGTCAGTAGACTGCTTGTTTTTTGTTTTTTTTAGGCAAAGAGCATGCAGAGTTACAGCTTCTGGCTTGAATACAGTCAGATTTTTACTATAATTTATGGAGGCATGAGGGGCCCTGGGGGGCTAGATGGTTGTTTTAACACTATAGGGTCAGGTATACATGTTTGTGTTCCTGACCCTATAGTGATCCTTTAATCTATATTACAATTGCTATTATATAATATATAGTACTGCGTGCACTATGGCACCAGATGTTCCAAACTAAAGTTTGAAAATTGTTTTATGATTGGATCATATCTTTTAGATAGTGATACAGAAGAATGATGAACAATTTTCTCTTTCAAATTGCAGCAACTAAAAAACTGGTGGAGTTATTCCCTAAAACAGTAATTGTAGAGAATTGACAAGGGAAATATTAAACGAAATTAGCTGAACTGGAAAAATTCTATTTGCAGTTTCCTTGTTGATTCATCAGAATTATAAGTTTAGTGAATAACCTTGCAAATTATAATGATTCCTCGTTTAAAAATATACATTTCTGCAATCATTCGGAGTCACTGAGAGACAGATATTGACCAATTCAGTTGCAGTAGTTGCAGTACTGCTGAAAATAGTAAAATTCAAGTTTACAAAAATATCACTCACATGAAATATGTTCAAAAATGTGTTAAGAGTTCTAGTTTGTGAATATATGTGTACAATTAAGAATGTACTAACCAATCATTTATGGTGCCCCTTTAAACAAAGTAGTAATTATGTGTTTATGCCTTTTTCTTTATTTGTTTATAGCTCCCACCGGTAGTTACCACATTTCTAGAATACCCTCTTTTGTTTATATATGTGTTAGACTCCCACGTGCTTCTCAAGCTAATGGACACCAAGTCCAGTGACAGATGTTTTCTGATTTCAAAGGTTAATGTCAATAGCAGTCAAACAGAAACAGTTTGATCTATGAGTGAACATTTTCTTGACATTATATATAAATGCCCTATATTTTTCTGAGAACTAGGACAAGGTCCACAGATGGTAAACACTGCTCTCAAGTGGTTTATCAAATCAATCTGGACTTACAGTTCTTCAATAAAACGATCTGTAAAGTAAAAAAAAGAAAACTTGATTAATTGATAAAATTCCTATTTAACTAAAATTCGATACTTATAAACTGTAAATATAGTACACTTAGAAAGGAACATCTTAGCCTCAAATGCTAAAAATGAAAGGAACACTTAAGCACTAGGAATACAAATCTTTGGGGGAAAACCGTGGATAAGGTTATTAACTCAGTTATTTGCCATAAAAAAATTACTTAAAGGACCACTCTAGGCACCCAGACCACTTAAGCTTAATGAAGTGGTCTGGGTGCCAGGTCCCTCTAGTATTAACCCTTTTTTTTTTTTATAAACATAGCAGTTTCAGAGAAGAGGAGAATCGGAGGCGGAGAGGAGGAGGAGAGCTCCCTGCCCGATGCTGGAAAAAAGGTAAGTTTAACCCCTTTCCTTGCCATCCAGCCCGGCGGGAGTGGGACCCTGAGGGTGGGGGCACCCTCAGGGCACTATAGTGCCAGGAAAATGAGTATGTTTTCCTGGCACTATAGTGGTCCTTTAAGACCTACTACGCCACCTCTGCCAGTAAATGCCTTTTCCACAGGGACTTCACACAATTCGAGACTCTATGCACTGCCAGACGACATGTCGGGAGAGGTGTCTCATTACTGTATGCAATGCTCATATCAGGGAAAAACTGGCCACCTCCCAAGTTTATTGCTAGATGGGAGAGGGAGACTGGAGAGACACTGACTGAACAGGAATGGGACAATATTTTCATATTTACACATAAGTGCTCTATGAACTCACAATTCCAAGAGATGAGCTTTAAACTGTTGGTGCAGGACCCCTGACATCCTTCACCGCATGAATGCAGAGAATTCGGAGGAGTGTTGGAGGTTTGGGTCAGAAATTGGCACAACGCTCCACATCTGGTGGTCATGCCCTTGAATTTCCTCCTTCTAGCTGACGGTGTACTCTAAGATTAGGGAGATCTCAGATCCTGAGTTGCCCCACCAGCCATTGCCCATGCTATTGCACCATACAAACATGACATTGAAATCTTACAAGAAGCCTAAATACCTGCTGACTGTGGCAAAATCCTTGATACCCACATATTGGAAGCAGACGGGTGTGCCAACCTTTCAGCTATGGGTTGATAGGGTGAGAGAGATCTATGCCATGGAATCAATGACAGCGGCCATACAGGGCCGTACAGAAATTTGTACCCAGACCTGGACCCCGTGGCTGATGTACACTGCCGCAGTTGACTCAAGCACCTAATTTAATTCCTCCCCCTCTTTTTTCCCCCTCCCCCTTTTTTCTTTTTTTTCCTTTCTCTTGCCCCTCCTACCTTGCCACCCTAACCTCCTGAAATCCCTTACGCCCTGAACCGACTGACACAAACTGATCATTGCGATCACTCTGCTCATGCTCGAACCCCTGACCAGGACAGACTCCTTTCTGACAAACGCAAAATTACTCAATGCTGACACAAGTTATGAATCTCTATTCAGCAGTCCAGTGCTGAGAAGACATGGTTTTGTTCCTGATGACACAGATTGAAAACGTGTTAAGTTATACTTGTCCAACTGATTGAATATTGTATGAACTTACTATAGGCCTTGCACCTTCCAAGACCAAATGCGTATTTACGATTGTTAATGATGTATGAACAACCTATTGTTATTGGTATTTATATAGTGTCACAAACGCACCCAACTACAAGAGTGTGCGTGACGTAGTGGGTTAAAGTTCACTATTTGTCTGCACTAGACCGGAAATAATGATAAAATCCTGCTTTACACCACCCACACTTAAGCATAATAATATAAATATTACTATTTTAATGCTGCCACCACCAATACAATTTATAAATGGGGTGCCTTGATCCCCCGGGTATACATAATAATAATAAAAACCCACCAAATACAACTTCACACAATATTTAAGGAATTGCAAAAATACTAATTAATACTAATTAATTCTCTTCAGGTTTCTTTACCAGACAAAGGCAGAACTTAATAAAGGAATATTTATTATGAGCAAAAAATAGTCACAGTGTGTACAAAAATATAGATGACAATCAAATTAGTTACATCAACAACAGATAAAACCTAAAGGCATAAAATAACAAAAGTCATAATCACTTACTCAGGTTTTCAAAGTAAAAGTATTTCTGCCCATGGGGGTCTCTGGTAAGAAAGGTGGCGACTCACTTAGAATTAGATTCTGGCCCCAAGCAAGTACAATGCACACTTCAGTATCATTAGAGATATACCCTGTGGATTATCAAGCCTTGCCCAGAGGTGGAGATAAGGCGTACCTATAGTAACTATGCGTGACCACCCCCTTGTGTTCCAGACCAACATCAATCCAAATGGAAACATTTGGTTCTATCCAGGGCCATCTTTAATATTGATTGGACCCTGGGCAAGCATCTGTTTGGGCCCCCTGGGCATGCAATCACTCCCTCCACCCCAACCTAGAGGCGAAACTAATGTAGAGAGTGTCTTGGTGCAACAACAAAAAATTCAGGCCTGCCCTGTAGCACAAGAGTAAAGAAAAGATAGATCCCCAGCTGTCATACAACTCCTGCGATGCTATGCCAGCTGGGGATCTACCATCCTTGCAGGGTTGTATTTTTGAGCAGTGTTTGTGCAAATGAATGTCAGCATGTTATTGTATAGAGTGTATGTGTGCATGTAGGAGTGTATTTGTATGTACTGTTACCACTGGAATGCAGTGGTGTACTTGTGTGTAGTGTTTGCATTTTAATGCAGGGATGTGTGATTGTTTGTAGTGTTGGCTTTTAAATGCAGGTGTACTTTTGTGTGTAGAGTTGGTGTTTGTATATAATTTTAGCGTTTTAATACAGGAATGTGTTTGCATGTAATGTTTGTATTTGCATGCAGGGGGGTGTTTGGATGTAGTGTTGTCTTTTAAATACATGTGTACATTTGTGTGTAGTATTAGTGTTTGCAGGGGTCTGTGCATGTTGTGTGATTTCTATAACACATATACACATACACATTAACACGCAGATACACACATGCTCACACTGACACATGCTCACACCTTGACACATACAGGGAGTGCAGAATTATTAGGCAAGTTGTATTTTTGAGGATTAATTTTATTATTGAACAACAACCATGTTCTCAATGAACCCAAAAAACTCATTAATATCAAAGCTGAATATTTTTGGAAGTAGTTTTTAGTTTGTTTTTAGTTATAGCTATGTTAGGGGGATATCTGTGTGTGCAGGTGACTATTACTGTGCATAATTATTAGGCAACTTAACAAAAAACAAATATATACCCATTTCAATTATTTATTATTACCAGTGAAACCAATATAACATCTCAACATTCACAAATATACATTTCTGACATTCAAAAACAAAACAAAAACAAATCAGTGACCAATATAGCCACCTTTCTTTGCAAGGACACTCAAAAGCCTGCCATCCATGGATTCTGTCAGTGTTTTGATCTGTTCACCATCAACATTGCGTGCAGCAGCAACCACAGCCTCCCAGACACTGTTCAGAGAGGTGTACTGTTTTCCCTCCTTGTAAATCTCACATTTGATGATGGACCACAGGTTCTCAATGGGGTTCAGATCAGGTGAACAAGGAGGCCATGTCATTAGATTTTCTTCTTTTATACCCTTTCTTGCCAGCCACGCTGTGGAGTACTTGGACGCGTGTGATGGAGCATTGTCCTGCATGAAAATCATGTTTTTCTTGAAGGATGCAGACTTCTTCCTGTACCACTGCTTGAAGAAGGTGTCTTCCAGGAACTGGCAGTAGGACTGGGAGTTGAGCTTGACTCCATCCTCAACCCGAAAAGGCCCCACAAGCTCATCTTTGATGATACCAGCCCAAACCAGTACTCCACCTCCACCTTGCTGGCGTCTGAGTCGGACTGGAGCTCTCTGCCCTTTACCAATCCAGCCACGGGCCCATCCATCTGGCCCATCAAGACTCACTCTCATTTCATCAGTCCATAAAACCTTAGAAAAATCAGTCTTGAGATATTTCTTGGCCCAGTCTTGACGTTTCAGCTTGTGTGTCTTGTTCAGTGGTGGTCGTCTTTCAGCCTTTCTTACCTTGGCCATGTCTCTGAGTATTGCACACCTTGTGCTTTTGGGCACTCCAGTGATGTTGCAGCTCTGAAATATGGCCAAACTGGTGGCAAGTGGCATCGTGGCAGCTGCACGCTTGACTTTTCTCAGTTCATGGGCAGTTATTTTGTGCCTTGGTTTTTCCACACGCTTCTTGCGACCCTGTTGACTATTTTGAATGAAACGCTTGATTGTTCGATGATCACGCTTCAGAAGCTTTGCAATTTTGCTCTGCAAGATATCTCACTATTTTTGACTTTTTTGAGCCTGTCAAGTCCTTCTTTTGCACCATTTTGCCAAAGGAAAGGAAGTTGCCTAATAATTATGCACACCTGATATAGGGTGTTGATGTCATTAGACCACACCCCTTCTCATTACAGAGATGCACATCACCTAATATGCTTAATTGGTAGTAGGCTTTCGAGCCTATACAGCTTGGAGTAAGACAACATGCATAAAGAGGATGATGTGGTCAAAATACTCATTTGCCTAATAATTCTGCACTCCCTGTACTGGCACATACACACACACTCAGATACACACCCTTTGACACACAGATACAAACACTTTGATATACACACACTGGCACATACACACACACACACTGACACAGGTATATACACACACACTCAGATACACACATACATAAAGGTATAAATGAGGGTGTATATGTGTACAGTGCTAGAGATGGAATGTAGGAGCGTATTTGTGTTGGCATTAAAATGCTGGGATGTATGCATTACCACACACTCAGATGCACACTTACACACACACCGAAACACACACACAGGTGCACATACAGGCGTATGAGGTATACATACACACAGAAACACTGACACACAGGCAAATACAGCCAGATACGCACAAGGACATAAACACAGCCAGATACACACATATATATGTGTACATTTACATATTTTAATCTCTGCCTTGTAGCAGCTCTTGGACAGCAACTCCCAGCAACCTTGGCCAATATAATGTCTCATCTCTGTTCTTACATACCCTGGTCCAGAATTTGGCAAAAGTGACATTTGAAAATGGTATACAGCCTTTGATAACACTTGATGCAATAATATGTTAAAATAAATACTTTTTAAATTTATATTTAATAGGGAACTGTCAGGTTCTTCTAGGATTTTTAACATGTACTTATTCCCTGTGTGTTACATTACAAACACCAACACTTAAATAAAAGTGATATCAGAAATTAGCAAAACAAAAAAACAAAACATATTTAGCCACCCTCCTGTCTCCTTACCTTTTGGGTACAGAAAGGTGGCTTCCCTGGGGTCCAGTGGGAGCTTGTTGGCCCAGGCTGATGGGAGTCTGCCATCAGCTTTCTCAGTCCCTCTCCCCCACAATGCTTGCATCCTCCTCCATGTGGTGTGTGCCTCCTCCCCAGCGGCACTGAGGAGGAAGTGATCAGTTTTTACTGGGAGGAAGCAATCTGACCTCACTGCCTCCCAGCATGCCCAGGAAACAAAGAGACTCACAGGGCAGTGTGTGAGGGGGCTAGCTGTGAGTATATAGTCAGCCACCCCCCATATAACAGGGGCCCGGGCCGGTCCAGAGCAGTATTAAATGGCTGTGGCCCCTGATTACCGCAGGTGCCGCAGGGGGCCCATGGGGCAGCTGCCTTAGGGCCCCCAGGAGTAACTGGGCCCGGGGCAGCTGCCCCTTTTGCCCCTCCTTAAAGACGGCCCTGGTTCTATCTCCTCCTATGTACTTGCCACCGAAAAATTAATTGCATCTATGAATTGGTTACCATTTCTCCATTACATACTTCTTACTTGTGACCCAATATAGCGGACATTCCAAACCCGTCCAATATGGTTAAGTTAAGTTACTTGATTAGAAGATTGTGCTGGCCACATTCCAAATATAGCAAAAATGAGGCTTACGTATTATTCTGTGGATAAATATAAATGTATGTTTCTTTTGGATATGATAATGGAACACAAGGCTTGTTTTTTTTCTCTTTTCTTGAAAGCTAATTAACATATCAAAGAAATCAACTCATCAATTAAAAGGTAGATGCCATATGGCTGAAGTCAGCTAGTTTACATTGGAGCTAGACTTCCAGGCCACTTATGTGTGACTTCTCACACCTTACAGGACCTTTGATTAATCAAGGGATCAATCCATATGCAAACCATCTGCCCCCTTTTCACATTCCTATGCAATTTACACTACCCCTTATGTCATCGGACCTTGCAACCAAGTGGCCAATTCATAAATGCACTACACAAATTACATTATATGGCCATATTCTATTGTGCAACAATGAATTATGCACCCTTGGTGTGACACCTCCACCAAATAAGAGACGCAGTGGGAGAAGGCTCTTATGCCTCTACCTTGCGTATCAACATTTGTTCTTTTTTGCCTTCACATCATACACTCATCTTTTTCATAACACTGTTTATGTATAAATGGGGTAGACCTCATGTGTTCGCACACCTCCCCCAAAAAGGCCTGCATTTAGTTCCTAAGCTAAATCACAGCTACAGGGAGTGCAGAATTATTAGGCAAATGAGTATTTTGACCACATCATCCTCTTTATGCAAGTTGTCTTACTCCAAGCTGTATAGGCTCGAAAGCCTACTACCAATTAAGCATATTAGGTGATGTGCATCTCTGTAATGAGAAGGGGTGTGGTCTAATGACATCAACACCCTATATCAGGTGTGCATAATTATTAGGCAACTTCCTTTCCTTTGGCAAAATGGGTCAAAAGAAGGACTTGACAGGCTCAGAAAAGTCAAAAATAGTGAGATATCTTGCAGAGGGATGCAGCACTCTTAAAATTGCAAAGCTTCTGAAGCGTGATCATCGAACAATCAAGCGTTTCATTCAAAATAGTCAACAGGGTCGCAAGAAGCGTGTGGAAAAACCAAGGCGCAAAATAACTGCCCATGAACTGAGAAAAGTCAAGCGTGCAGCTGCCACGATGCCACTTGCCACCAGTTTGGCCATATTTCAGAGCTGCAACATCACTGGAGTGCCCAAAAGCACAAGGTGTGCAATACTCAGAGACATGGCCAAGGTAAGAAAGGCTGAAAGACGACCACCACTGAACAAGACACACAAGCTGAAACGTCAAGACTGGGCCAAGAAATATCTCAAGACTGATTTTTCTAAGGTTTTATGGACTGATGAAATGAGAGTGAGTCTTGATGGGCCAGATGGATGGGCCCGTGGCTGGATTGGTAAAGGGCAGAGAGCTCCAGTCCGACTCAGACGCCAGCAAGGTGGAGGTGGAGTACTGGTTTGGGCTGGTATCATCAAAGATGAGCTTGTGGGGCCTTTTCGGGTTGAGGATGGAGTCAAGCTCAACTCCCAGTCCTACTGCCAGTTCCTGGAAGACACCTTCTTCAAGCAGTGGTACAGGAAGAAGTCTGCATCCTTCAAGAAAAACATGATTTTCATGCAGGACAATGCTCCATCACACGCGTCCAAGTACTCCACAGCGTGGCTGGCAAGAAAGGGTATAAAAGAAGGAAATCTAATGACATGGCCTCCTTGTTCACCTGATCTGAACCCCATTGAGAACCTGTGGTCCATCATCAAATGTGAGATTTACAAGGAGGGAAAACAGTACACCTCTCTGAACAGTGTCTGGGAGGCTGTGGTTGCTGCTGCACGCAATGTTGATGGTGAACAGATCAAAACACTGACAGAATCCATGGATGGCAGGCTTTTGAGTGTCCTTGCAAAGAAAGGTGGCTATATTGGTCACTGATTTGTTTTTGTATGTCAGAAATGTATATTTGTGAATGTTGAGATGTTATATTGGTTTCACTGGTAATAATAAATAATTGAAATGGGTATATATTTGTTTTTTGTTAAGTTGCCTAATAATTATGCACAGTAATAGTCACCTGCACACACAGATATCCCCCTAACATAGCTAAAACTAAAAACAAACTAAAAACTACTTCCAAAAATATTCAGCTTTGATATTAATGAGTTTTTTGGGTTCATTGAGAACATTGGTTGTTGTTCAATAATAAAATTAATCCTCAAAAATACAACTTGCCTAATAATTCTGCACTCCCTGTATATCCACAACACACATGCCTGATTTGCCTGATTCCATTTCACACTGCTCTCTGGTCACATCCCTTGTGCCTATACCCACTGCGCCCATGTAGTAGCTCTAAGGCAGGGGTGGGGAACCTTCGGTCCTCCAGATGTTCTGTACCACATTTCCCATAATGCTCTTACAGCCAAAATGCTGGCAAAGCATCAAGGGAGAACCATCTAGAGGGAACCATCTAGAGGGCCGAAGGTTCCCCACCACTGCTCTAAGGGGAAGAAACCAACAGATTTCTGCATTACTCCCCTGCAAGCACACAAAAGTTGAGACAGAGAACACTCCCAGGGTACTTGCACTAGATCAACACCCTTCATCTCTTTTATTTTGGGGTCTGACTGCTGGGCTCGTTGCATTACCTGACTCTGAACCTTTGAGAGTTGCTTTCAGACAGACTCCTGCTCCTGAGCTGGTTGGGGTGTATGTTTGAGTTGTGATTGTGATAAGCCAACAAGGTTCCTGGTTCCCCCATCAGTATGTTCTCCTGCGGACATCTTCCCTGGACCCACAAGCTGAGTCTGTCCCTGTCCTTCACTTTGGGCAGATGGTGGATGGGTCCCCCTTTCTACTGATGGAACCTCTGTCTCTCCCTTACTTTCACTCCATATCCTCACACATACAGAACCTTGGGAACTGGGTGAATATGGTGCAGAGTAACGCTCATACACATTCTGCTCTCCCTCACAGTCATGTTCTCTCTCCACATTTTCACACAGCACATGAAATACATTTGCTTCAGGCACATATTGGCACATATATTCATTCAGCCCCCTCTACCTAGAAGGCTTTTCCGATACATTTTCACATGACACATTTGACACCCCTTGGTTAGGCACACACTCAGGGCCGGCGCGTCCATAAGGCGGCACAGGAGGCCGCCTTAGGGCGCACCGGCACTGGAGGCGCAAAATTCCAGTGACCGGCAGGAGGGAAGTGTTCCCTCCTGCCAGGTCACCTTCTGGATCCCCTGCGCGGCGTGCGACTGAATTGGATTCCGAGGTGGCGAGGGAGCTCTGATCTCTCTGATCTGCTCCCTCGCAGGCTGTTTACTGATGATGTCATATTCCGGCTCCCGCGGCATCAGTAAACAGCTTGCGAGGGAGCAGATCAGAGAGATCAGAGCTCCCTCGCCACTTCGGAATCCAATTCAGCCGCACGCCTCCCAGCAGCCCCACTGGACCACCAATGAGAGACCCACGCCAGCTCTCCAGGTAGGGAGGCTGGGTGGGAAATTTTAATTTAATTTAGATTATTAATTACTGTGAGTGTGTGTGTGTGTGTGCGCATGTGAGTATATGTGTCTGTGAGTTTGTGTGGTTCTGTCAGTGTATGTGTGTGAGTGAGTGTGTCTGTCAGTGTATGTGTGAGTGTGTCTGTCAGTATGTGCGTGTGTGCATGTGAGTACGTGTCTGTCAGTGTCTGTGAGTTTGTGTGTGTCAGTGTGTGTTTGTCAATGAGTCTGTCAGTGTTTGTGTGCCTGTCAGTGTGCGTGTGAGTGTCTGTCAATGAATGAGTGTGTCAGATAAGTGAGTCTGGCTGTCAGAGATGTCTGTGTGTTTGTCACTGAGTGTGTGTGACTGTCAGTGTTTATACACCCCTGACTGTAGCGTGGCCAAGCGGAGTGTACCGTGGTACAGGAACTTCTGTTTCCTGTACCTGGCAGGACTGACAGGAAAAGCTCACTGTACCGGGATTCGCTCCGCTCAGCCACGCTACAAAAAAGGTAGGAGGCACACCAGGAAGGGGAGGGGACCACTATGGGGGTGGGTGGCGCACCAAGGGACAGGGAGAGATACCCTAAGGTACAGGAAAAGGAGGGAGGGGGGGAGAGGAACACTAAGCGACAGGGAACAGAGGGGGGAGGGGAGAGGAACACTAAGGGACAGGGAAAGGAGGGGGGAAGGGAAAGGAACACTGAGGAACAGGAAAAGGAGGAGAGAGGGGAGAGGAACAGTAAGGGTCAGAGAAGGGAGGGGACCATTAAGGGACAGGGAGAGGGGCTGGATATGAAAGAAACACACACCGGGGCTTGAGAAGGAAAGAGACACAAAGGAGCTGGGAAGAATAAAAGACACAAAGGGGCTGGGAGAAAAGGAGTCACACAAAGGGGCTGGGAGGAGTAAGACACAAAATGTGGGAGGATGTAAGAGTCATACAAAGAGGAGAGATAGGAGACACACAAAGGCAAAGGGAGTCAGATATTTAAAAGACGGGATAAGAAACACAAAAGGGAGGTTAAGAGGCACATGGGTGAAGATGTTTTTGGGGGGGCGGAAAAATGCATCTTCGCCTATGTACCCAAAATTCTTTGCACCGGCCCTGCACACACTGTTGCACACACTCACTTACTTTTCTCTCCCGGCCAGACATCCTCAAAAATCTCACACAGCCCCTCAAACTCTCCTGAATTATATGGCCATATTCTATTGTGCAACAATGAATTATGCACCCTTGGCGTGACATATAGCGCCAACTAATTCCGCAGCGCTTTACAATATTATGAGACAATTACACAGTGACACAGGAACAACAGGTAGATGACGGCCCTGCTCAAACGAGCTTATAACCTACTGTATTTACTTGAATCTAATGCGCCATAAAAATCTAATGCGCACATCAATTTTTTAAACCTGGAAGCTGAAAAATGTTTTTGCAGGTGAATGTAATGCGCATTTATACAAGAACTATACAACAATGTGCTACAATGAAATTGTTTACTGCCATAAACCATAGTAACATTGATGGTATTTCAATTTTAGTGGTACATGTTAAGTCTATTCTTTCTTATGCCCTCTTTCAGGAACGAAAGTCGACTGTTTGAATTTACCAGAATAAAATTCGCCTGTGTGAATTCGCCGGAATGAATTCACTGAAATATTTCTACTTTTGCCCCAAATATAATGCCCTATCAAATCTAATGCACATTCAAATTTTGAAAACTTTATTTCTCTTAAAAAGGTGCGTAAAAGATTTGAGTAAATATGGTATTTACTAAAAAACTGAAGTACAATGAAAAATAAAAAATAAAGATTGTCAAAAAAAACTTAAACAAATTTACATGATCTTCACAGCAGACGTTTTCTGTGCAGTTCCCAATGCGCAATGCACCTTTTTAAATCTCTACAGTACACTGGACATGCTATAGTTGCTCTTCTAATGGATTGCATTAATGTGTGACATCATCAGGAATGACAGCCGTTAATCCAACCCAGTCTGATTACCTCTAATCATTGGTACTTTCCCCCAAATAAATTATCCAACCCCCTCAATGCTAATTGCTGTTAGCCAGTGTTTGACCTCAGATAAGCTTTTGATTTTTCTCTCCTATTATGGTCATTCGTGTGATATTGTAACACAGTCGATATGAGTATTTTATGAAGATTATATCTTTAAGAAATACTAATTTTGGGGGAGGGTGGGGGTGTAACAATGTATTAAAAGTGCTGCTTTAATTACAGTAGCTGCTAAACTCACCACACAGACACACAGTTGGGTTTATAGGCTGTGCTTTCATATGGGAGGGGTTAAACCAGGGTAAATATAGACATGTTCATCAAAATAGCATATATTACTATTGAAATCAAACAACTAATTTTTAACATCAATACCAAAAAAGGGCAAGGCACTTTCAAATTTAATTAAAGTGCTCAACAATGTAAGAGCTTATAACTATAATGTAGAGAGAGAGAGAGATGTGTACACCATACAGATAAAGAGGTGGAATATTTTTAATCAAACCAGTGATGCTTTGTGAAAAGTGCACGTTTTAATACTTCACAAACATATACTTATACTTTATTTTTTTTCTAATTATCTGAAAAAAAGAAACACAAAATCGATTTAGTTAGAGGAAGCCTACGTAATCAGGGTGAAACACATCATGAACGATGACAAAGGAGGTAGGCCAACAGTTTCCACAAGACTAGAGTCCTACGGAACACGAAACAAGGCAGATGAGCAAAGCTTTTATATAGAGTGCATGTAGCAAGTTTCCTATGTGGTTAATTCACATGGATTCTAAGTGAGAGTTTTTAATATTGTTTGTTAAAAATAAAGTATTTATGGTTTAGCGCTATTAGAGCCCCTCTGATATTCTCTCTTGCTTTAAGCTGCTGTTCCAGTGAACAATTATAGGGTTTGTTAACTTTCAAATGAATTGTCTCTGGTATAGGTGAGTGCTATCCGAAAGGGGGCAGTTTTTTGGGGTGTGAACAGAGGTTAAATAAACATTGTTTTTTTGTGCACATGATTACAAAGTTATAAAATGAAACGACATGTTATATGTAAGTACATGTTTGCGAATTAGGCACTTTTCTTAAAGCCAGATCGCATCACCGGTTTGGTTAGAAATATTTTTTTAAACTACAACTGCAAGACACATAATACAACTATATTTACATTTACATTTTTGACGGTGTCCCTTTATCGGTTTTGGAACGTGCACTATATGAATTTAAAACTATAGACTCTATTTTGCAGATGAAGCAGCTCACACTGTATTATGCAACATTTTATGGATATTAGATATTGTTTTTGTGCATTGTTTAAACATGAAACAAAGTTTCTTTACAATAACTAAGACAGCTGTGATGTCCTCTAAAATACATCTCTTTAAGCTATACATCCTGCTTCTCCATCAATAATGGCTCAAACATAATTATCCTATAAATAATTAAAGGGACACTATAGTCACCAGAACAACTACAGCTTAATGTAGTTGTTCTGGTGAGTATAATAGCTCCCTTCAGGCATTTTCATGTAAACACTGCCCCTAGGGACACCTCCAAGTGGCCACTCCTTAGATGGCCACTGGGGGGGCTTCCTGGCTCAGGGCTGGCACAGTAAGCAGCCCTGCTGTTCAGTTTCCCCACGCTCTGCGTGGAGATGCTGAATTTTCCTCATGAGGAGGTCTCTATGAGGAGGTCCTGATTGGCCAAAACTGCATTTCCCATAGGGAAAGCATTGGATTGGCAAAAAAATCTGCCATGTTGATGATGTCACAAAGGGGGCAGAGCCAGTGCCGACGGACCAGCGCGGTGATGGAAATAAGGTGAGTTTTAAAATTTTATTGTGGGACTAAGGGAGGGCAAGCCACCTAAATGGTGGGTTAAACACAATAGTGATCCTTTAAACTGCTGTCTATAGTTAATAAGTATTATTAGAGGGTTGCACTCCAATCCCTCATTCAATTTAAGTAAAAGACCCTTACTAGATTGTTCAAATAAATAAGAAGTCACTGGTAAATAAAGGTAATTTTTGCTGCTTTTCTTGTTTTAAAAAGGCTGCTAAACCTTGTGCTGCTTCAAAAATGATTCTGCTCCTGGTGTCCACTCATACCTTATTAACTATAGGATGAGGCAATATCCATTCGTATGCTCCCAATCTTATGCTCCCAATCATGCAACTTCCTCACAAAAAATACACTATTTCCTACCTACATGTATTAAAGAGTGTTGGTTCAAAAAAAACATAAAAATTATTTAATTCTCATCTGGCATACCTTGATTGATGAGCATCAATTTCATATCCATGGTTAAAATAAACTGGCCATAAAAATGATAAAACCAAAAAAGTTGTGGTGTAATTAAGATAAATTTTCCAATATAAATGTGAATATAATAAAATATTTATATACTTATTGAATCTTTCTCATCTGTTGTTTCAGAATCCACATACACATGTCAAATGTTAGAATTCGGTTCTTCCAATTCTTTAATCACTTAAACTTGTATGAAAGACATAAAAACATACCATAGTGTAAAACCAACAACACCAATAAAAATAAGGTAAACTATTGCACTCACAAACGTAGGACCACTATAGGTGGTCAGTATAGCATATCAAAAGGTCTAAAAGACCTGTAGTTCTTGGCAGGTATATCTCTAGTAATGAATTCTATCCTCAGTTCACCCTCCTGTGCTGGGTCCGGATCCCTTCCAGTGGGGAAGTAGAAACAAAATCCTGATTTATTGTGAACTGCCAAACTGGAGAAATAAAGACTTTGCTGGCTCCTCACTGCCGACCGGGTTTGCTTGTATGGGCTTCCTTAAGGCAGCGGAATGATAACTTGTGCACAATAATAAAAAAAGTTAACCTGCAAAAAATAAGCAAAAAAGTTTAAAAAGGTTTTACCCCTTGCACACAGCCGGTCTTTGCCACATGATCATACAAAAGTGAAGGGTTAGAGTGGTCAGGCTCCAGCAAAAAAGAAAAAAAATGTGTGCTGTCACCCATAGACTTATAGCACCACAACAACTACAGTACTCTGTAGTGGTTATGATGTTCAGAGTTCCATTGTGAATAAAATTGAGCGAACCCGAACTGAACAGTTCAGGTTCGTACCGAACATTACGTTTTTTCGACCCCGGACCCGAATACGGACATATCACTGTATGTTCGGGTTGGAGTTCGGTGTTTGGCGATTTAATGACGCGTTATGAAAGGCTGCAGGGCCTACGCAGTGGGTGGGAGCCTTAAATAAAAATAAGAGGGGGACACCTACTGTCCTCCCCCCCGGCCCCCACCCCTGAGCTGATGGTGGGGGCCATAAATAAAAATTGGGGGGGACACCTAATGTCCTCCCCCCTGTCCCCCACCTCTGAGCGGTGGGTGGGGGCCATAAATAAGAATTTGGGGGGGACCTCCTGTAACCAATCAGAGTGTTATGAGTCAAATTACACAGCGTGGGAAAATTCCAAAGAACTTTCCCACGCTCTGTAAAATGACACAAAGCACTCTGATTGGTGGATTTCAAGCCAACCAATCAGAGTGCTGTGACAGGTAAATGTAGAGACTTACCTGTCAGTCTCTTCATTTACCTGTCAGAGCACTCTGATTGGATGGCTCAAACCAGGGCCGGACTGGGAAGAAAATTCGGCCCAGGCATTTTTTAATTACAGCGGCCCACTCAAAAGGGGGCGGGGCCAGATAGGGTGTGTTTTGTCATCACCAATGACAAGCACGCCCCATCACAAAGTGAGCATGTTGGTTCAATGCTCTTCCAGGGTAGACCATGCGCAGAGCTCTGCTGAAGAGCTCTGGCATGAGAAAAATACCCTGTATTTGTTCTGCACAGCGCAAGCAAATTTAATAACATGCTTGCACTGTGTTTGCTTGAAATTTGTCTCTGGTGTCTCCATAGTTGGGATACCAGGAGACAAAAATGCCTGGAAAGCATATTGTGCAGTGTGTGTGAGGGTGCTCTGTGTGTGTGTGTGTGTGTATAAGGGGTGTAGTGTGTGTGAGAGAGGGGTGCAGTGTGTGTGTGAGTGATGGGTGCTGCGTTTGCGTGAGGGTGCTATGTGGGTAAGGGTGCTGTGTGTGTGATGGGTGCAGTGTGTGTGTGCTGTGTGTGAGTGGGTGCTGTGTTTGCATGAGGGTGCTATGTGCATGTGAGGAAGCTGTGTGTGAGGGTGCAGTGTATTCATGTGAGGAAGCTGTGAGTGTCAGGGGTGCAGTGTGTGTAAGTGAGGGTGTGTGATGTGCATGTCATGGGTGCAGTGTGTGTGTGTGAGGGTGCTGTGAGTGTCAGGGGTGCAGTGTGTGTGCTGTGCGTGTCAGGGGTGCAATGTGTGTGTGTGAGGGTGCTGTGAGTGTTAGGGGTGCATTTTGTGTGTGCTGTGAGTGTCAGACGTGTAGTGTGTGAGTGAGGGTGCAGTGCGTGTCAGGGGTGCAGTGTGTGAGGGTGCTGTGAGTGTCAAGGGTGCAGCGTGTGTGCTGTGAGTGTCAGGGGTGCAGTGTGTGTATGTGTGAGTGTCAGGGGTGCAGTGTGTGTGAGTGAGGGTGCTGTGAGTGTGAGGGGTGCAGTGTGTGTGCTGTGAGTGTCAGGGGTGCAGTGTGTGTGTGAGGGTGCTGTGAGTGTCAGGGGTGAGTGTCAGGGGTGCAGTGTGTGTGTGTGAGGGTGCTGTGTGCTGTGAGTGTCAGGGGTGCAGTGTGTGTGTGTGTGTGTGAGGGTGCTGTGAGTGTCAGGGGTGCAGTGTGTGTGCTGTGAGTGTCAGGGGAGCAGTGTGTGTGTGTGTGCTGTGAGTGTCAGGGGTGCAGTGTGTGTGTGGGAGGGTGCTGTGAGTGTCAGGGGTGCAGTGTGTGTGCTGTGAGTGTCAGGGGTGCAGTGTGTGTGCTGTGAGTGTCAGGGGTGCAGTGTGTGTGTGTGTGTGTGAGTGAGGGTGCTGTGAGTGTTATGTGCTCTGCTGTGCCCTGATTATATCCCCCCTCCCTGCTTACCTTATGCCTGGGAGGGGGGATCCTGCTGCTGGGGCTTCCATCCATCCCTGGTGGTCCTAGTGGTGAGTGAACTCTAGCCTGTTGGGCTATAGTTCACTCTCGCGAGACCCAGAGCATTGCCATGGCAACGCTCCGAATCTCGCGAGAGGAACCCGGCGGAGCTGTAAGTTAAAGCTCCGCCGGGTTCCTCTCCTGGCAGGCTGGCTCCCTCACTCTCTCCCCCGGCGGCCGCAGTATTCTCTATGTGGGCCGGTGAGGGAGATCTCTGATTTCCCCACCGGCCTGCTGTAGACTACTGTAGGGCCGGCGTTCAGATAGTGCTGGCCCTGCAAAGACCGGCAGGAGAGATCCTGTGATCTCCCTGCCGGCCTCGGCCCACGGCCACCGTGGCCCACCGGGCATTTGCCCGGTGTGCCCGATGGCCAGTCCGGGCCTGGCTCAAACCCACCAATCAGAGTGCTCTTTATAAGCCTTCCCCCGCCCTGCAGAGTTCAGTCTGCGCGGAGCCCTCCATGGGTGAAAATTGATTTATTTATTTTTTGCTCTCGTTTTATTTTATTTTTTTAAAGTGCGTCGGTTATTATGGATTTTTATTATTTTAAAATAAAGTTTAGAAGAAAGAAGACATCAAATGGTAAGTTTTATTTACTTATTTTTTTTACAGGTATTTAGATAAGGGTCCCCCCTAATTATTTTTAGGATGAGGGGAGTAGGTAGGATTAATGTTTTTTTGGGGAGGGGGGTGACTAGGGGTTTGGGGACCCCTAGTCATCTGGGGGTCCCCCAAATTTTCCTTACTTTTGCAGCCCTCTGCCCTTTCCAGGAGTTTTTTAGAGCCATTTTTGTGCCCAAAAGTTTGGGTCCTCATTGACTTCAATGGGGTTCGGGTTCGGGGTCAAGTTCAAGCCAGAACCCGGCCTTTTTTTCAAAGTTTGGCCGGACCCGAACATCCAGGTGTCCGCTCAACTCTAATTGTGAATATACATTGTATTTATGTTTCACTAATATTATGTTCTATTTATGTATAAAGTTATTTTGTGTTTTCAAATTAATATGTAGCAGCTAGATTAAATGTATTTACTATCTGATATTGGTTTTGCTTTAACAATTATTGTTTGTTTGTTTTTTACTCTATTTTCACGTGAACTGTTTTTGAATGTAATGTATGTTAATCACAGTATAGCCATATGGTGTGACTAAATTCTCATATTTTTTTTACTTCAAACTGGTTTTAAGTTAGCCTTGAAATCTATGAATAAGTGTGTGTTGTTTGTGTAGATGCTGTTCAGCCACAAGTAAAAAAAAAAACACTGACAGCTGAAGTAAATAACGTCAATTATACTGTTACAGTGGCACCTGTCAAGGGGTGGGATATATTAGGCAGCATGTGAACAGTCAGTTCTTGAGTTTTGGAAGCAGGGAAAAGATGAGTGACTTTGACAAGGGCCAAATAGTGATGGCCAGACGACTTGGTCAGAGCATCTCTAAAACAGCAAGTCTTGTGGGGTGTTCCTGGTATGCAGTGGTTAGTACCTACCAAAAGTGGTGGAAGGAAGGACAACTGGTGACCTGGCATCATGGTGCCCAAGGCTCAATGATGCACATGGGTAGCGAAGGCTAGCCCACCTAGTCCAATCACACAGAACAGTCTACTGTAGCTCAAGTTGCTGAAAAACATAATGCAGCCATGATAGAAAGATGTCAGAACACATAGTGCATCACAGTGGATCTGCATAGCCACAGACTGGTCAGAGTGCCTATCATGACCCCTGTCCACCATCAAAAGCACCCTCAGTGGGGGGGGTGACTGTCAGAACTGGACCATGGAGCAATCGAAGTTGGTTGCCTGTTCTAATGAATCACTTTTTCTTTTAGATCAAGTGGATAGCTGGGTTTATCATTTACTTGTGGATGAGATAGCAGCAGGATGCGCTATGGGAAAACGGCAAGTTGGTGGAGGCAGTGTCATGCTCTGGGCTATGTAATGCTGGGAAACCTTGGGTCATGGAATTGATGTGGATGTTACTTGGACATGTACCACCTACCTAGAGATCGTTGCAGACCACATACACCACTTCATGTCAATGGTGTTCCCTGATGGCAGAGGCCTCTTTCAGCAGGATACTACACCCTGCCATACCGCAAAACATGTTCATGAACGGTTTGAGGAACATGACAAAGAGTTCAAGGTGTTGCCTTCGCCTCCAATTTCTCCATATCTCAATCCGATTAGGAATCTGTGGGATGTGCTGAAACAAGAAATCTGATCCATGGAGGCCCCAATTTGCAAATTGCAGTGTGTATATTCTCAAATAGTGCCTGCTCTGAGTCTTGCTTCCCAATTGTTTCTTTTTCCTGATTTTTTACTGGGCATATTTGGTCAAATATCCAGAATTTTAAATGTAATTATGTTTACATTTCACTTACCAGCCACCTATCAGTATATTAGGACTGGTGGCTCAGCTCATTCTTGGGCTGCATTGTCACTAAATGCTACCATGCTTGAGCCTCAGTTGTTCCAAGGTAATGGCTGACTGTGAGTGATTGCCATCTGCTGGATGGATACACAATTGCACCCAATAAGAATTAGCATTCCAGGACCTGTTAATTTTGTATTATTTATTTATTTATTTATAAAATATTTTACCAGGAAAGATACATTGAGATTTCTCTCGTTTTCAAGTATGTCCTGGGTCCACAAATCATTGCATTGTTACAATTAGGGTACAATAAAATACAAAAACAATATTAATACACAATATATACAACATTTAACATAGAACAGGTAGGAAATATATAATCAACCATGACAGGTGCATTCTGTTTTGAGGTATATAGAGAGGGATCTCTTAAAGGACTTTAGGCATAAGGAAGATTTTAAATAGTGCGGGAGGTCGTTCCACAATTGCGGTGCTCTGTAGGAGAAGGAGGATCGGGCTGCTTTCTTTTTGTATTGAGGTAGACTAAGTAAAGTGTTGGTACTGGATCTGAGGTTATAGGAAGTGGGAACAGCTGAGGAAAGCATTGTGTTCAGGTAGGGTGGGAGTTTCCCAGAAAAGCTTTTAACCCCTTAAGGACACAACTTCTGGAATAAAAGGGAATCATGACGGAATATTTCCGTCATGTGCCCTTAAGGGGTTAAACACAAGGCTGGAAAGATGAAGGGTGCGTCTGGATTCCAGCGACAGCCAGTTTAGTTCTTTTAGCATGTCACAATGGTGGGTCCTGTAATTACATTGTAACACAAATCGGCAGAACGAGTTATACAATGTGTTGAGTTTATTAATTGGTAGCTGTTTATACTGGCGATTCTTCTTTTTCACTTTATAATCCTACTCAAATGCTTTTTAAATATCCTAGTACAATATGCTTTAATTCATTCAAAGTTACTTCCCCCATACAAATGCCAATAAAGAGTAAATTTAAATCTTAAAATAGAATGCAACCTAACAAAAATCCCTTGTAATCTTATGGGCCACCACCAGACAGAGGGGTTAAAGACCTCATATCCATAAATAAAGCAAATAAAGTGTGGTCCTAATATGATTAAAATATAACTTCTATTAAAAGATTAAATAAAACATGCAATAATTGAAGTGGGGTAAGTATATGAACGGGTATTCAATTTGTATTTAGTATTCACAGTTGTTTGGAACAAGAGAATGTATGCCACTAGTATCTAGTTGGTTAGCTAATTATATGAGTACATTAATCATTTCCTACCAACAGGGATCGCCACTACAATAAGGTTCTCCCCTAGGTTCATTGACCTGAATTCTGGACAATTAGAATCATGAGAATGGAAGGGTAGCAATGATGTATCGAACATCATTACATTAAGTGGTGTTGGTGTCTAGAGTGGTTCTTTAACCCCTTAAGGACACATGACATGTATGACATGTCATGATTCCCTTTTATTCCAGAAATTTGGTCCTTAAGGGGTTAAAAGTAAGCATATCCTTGCTATAAGGCCACTGAAATTAACACCCTGATCAAGATGCAAAATTCACATAAGTATGCAATAAACCTGCCTCGTGAGTTTGTGATTACTAGATGGACCAAAGCACTTATGGTTGGAAGGATGATATAATTACACCAAAATCCTATATCTGCTCTAGGGAGTTGTAAGATACTGCAAGTTCATTAAATTAATCATGTTACAGGTGTTAGATCTTCATAAAAATAAACAGAAATTTAAAATCATAATGTATGCACCAAAAAGCTATTAGAAATCACTCATAAACATGCATTTAAATCAAATTAAACACATATGGAGTTTATTCACTAAACAGTAACCTAAAAAAAGGTAGACAATGGTAGCCAAATAATACATGTAATTCATTATTGATACAGGATGATATAAAGCAAAATTGTCAGCATTAAGAGGCAGTATTTGCATGCAAGAATTACACATGCAAATTCACTTTCCCCATTAGAATTCACTGTGATACTGTTTCACTGTACTTGCTAAAACCCTATGAATATTTCTTGATAGCGTCCTAGATACTACATAACAACTAGTGTTTACCTGTAAAAATACAGATCTCACTTATAAAAACTCCTTAAGGAAGCTTGTCTTACCCTTAAAGGACCACTATAGTGCCAGGAAAACATACTCGTTTTCCTGGCACTATAGTGCCCTGAGGGTGCCCCCACCCTCAGGGACCCCGTCCCGCCCGGCTCTGGAAGGGGGAAAGGGGTTTAAACTTACCTTTTTCCAGCGCTGGGCGGAGAGCTCTCCTCCTCCTCTCCGCCTCCGTTACGCCCCGCCGGCTGAATGCGCACGCATTCAGCCGGTCTCATAGGAAAGCATTTACAATGCTTTCCTATGGACGCTGGCGTGCTCTCACTGTGAAAATCACAGTGAGAAGCACGCAAGCGCCTCTAGTGGCTGTCAGTGAGACAGCCACTAGAGGATTAGGGGGAAGGCTTAACCCATTCATTATAGCAGTTTCTCTGAAACTGCTATAATTATGAAAAAATGGGTTAACCCTAGAAGGACCTGGCACCCAGACCACTTCATTAAGCTGAAGTGGTCTGGGTGCCTAGAGTGGTCCTTTAAGGACACAAGCCATTTTTGCATTTCTTGCTGTTTGTGTTCAAACACAATTTGCATCTCTCTCATTTATTGCACCAACTCATATTATATACAATTTTTTAGATGGCAAACAGGGATTTATTTTATGTCACATATACAAAACAATAAAAATAATTTTTTTTCACAATTTTGGCAATAACAACATATGCATAATATGTCCAGTTTAGAAAAAGTAATTCAAAATAAATTCATTTATGTGTCTTGATTTATAGAGTACATCATATGTATAGGAGCTTATTTTGAAAACAGGTCACAAAATACAAGGACTAAAATACAATTTCAATTTGCTAAAATTTTAGAAGTTGATATGTTTGTCTTGTACGTTTAGTAGCGATCACAGAAAAAAAAAATTGCCACGCAAAAGTATATATTTATATAAAGTAGACATCAAAGGCTATTTACCCAAGGTTAGTTTTACACTTTTTACATAGCCATTGCATCGCCAATCTCTGCTAAATATTGGAGTAAAACTGTGTTTTTTCTTTATTTTGGCATATATACGTATAACAAGGCTTTTGTAATGTGTATTTCATAAAGCTGGTGTGTGCTATTCCTGTACAGAACCACATATTGCGTTCAGCTACATCTGTTGAGTTTAACGATACCCCCATTGTATGCCTTTGGCACTATTCTATTAAGCCACAATGCCATATAAGAGACAAGGCTATTTCAATTTCTATAGTTAGAATTTTCGTAGAGGGATTTGACGGGCCTATGTCTCATTTTAGGGTATTATAGCAGTGTGGCTGTTCAAATAACCCCACAAAGGGCTTTCATTTGATAAAGCAGACACCCCAGGGTATCTTAAATGGTGTATATTGTGCCTTAACTTGTCACCATTTTTTCACCAATTTATGTCAATGTTTATGGTGAGGGGAAGAAAAATCAAATTTTTACAGATATGTTGCATTTTTGCTGAGTATTTCTTACACTTGATATGTACCACTGTCATAAAACCCCCCACATGATGCTAAGTTACATCTTCTGAGCAAAACAATATTCCCAATGTATGACCCAGACACTATTTTGTGAAGTTACAGTGCTGTAAAAGAGACGTGACAAGTTCAGGTTTTTAAGTGTGAATTTTCATGGAGGGTTTTGATGCGTTCGTGTCCCACTTTGGAGCACTTGGAATTTCTTTTTCATCTTATTTATATAAGTAAGATCTGTAGTTTTATGCTAATGGAGGAGTGGTGACCCTCTTTCCAGTTTTAGAGCTACCTATTGTCATTTCCTTTTTTAAATTTATTTTTTACCTACTCCCACTCCCTCTACCATCTGGCCTGACTACTTATATCTGTGTTTAACACCCCTATCTGTATTCAGTGCTATTTTTGCTTACTAATGTTTACATGTGCTAACAAGCTTGCTCGATATCTCATGTGAGAATGTTTCTCTGAACAAAAAAATTTGGTGTTAAAAAAAAAAAAACGAGATGCTCTCACTTTTTTTGGTAATCTACTGATGTCCTGTTCTATCGTCTTCATCCACTTTATATCATTAGAAGACAAACTGAACAGAGCTGCTTCCATAATTAAATTTCCCCAGTGTCATTTTGTATCCACATAGAAAGGTAATTAAATCTGTGTCTTTTATAGAAAATGATGACACGTGTCACTTATATCACTTTGCCCGGTCACTAGACTTGTGCATTAATGCTTTGAACAAATCAAATTTACTCAATGCCAAAGCAAATCGATTGTACGGGATTTACCTGTGGAGTCTTATTTAATGAATAAATATAACTTTTTTTTATGGCTCCTTTTCCCCCTCTTTTGATTGCTTTTTATCATATACAACCAATTGTACAGCGCTACGGAATCCGATGGCGCTATATAAATAAAATAATAATAATAATATTTTATATTAAGTGTATATTTTGCAGTACTCTGACCCATTTTCATGTCCTTTTGATTCATCTGATTATAAAATTTATCTGACTATAAAATTAATATTCATAAAACAGCTATGACTATAAACCTTAATCCTCCCTCTTTGAGTGTTTTGAAGGATATTTATATCTTAAGATCTCCAATACCTGGGAATCACTATAACAGCAAACCCAAAAGACATAGTCGAAACCAATTTCTTGAAAATGATAAAATATACTAATAGAATCCTTAAGGAATGGCGTCCCCTAGAGACCTCATGGTGGGGAATCAATACGATAAAGGCATATATTATCCCTAAATGGGCTTATATCTTTAATATGATTACACTAAAATTTCCCAAGCCTTGGTTGGATATGGTTCAGCATTCCCTATCCAACTTTATATGGAAAGGAAAGTCTCCAAGAATTAAAATCACAAATATTAACAAAAAAAAACAAAAAAGGAGGTATAGGATATCCCTTAATAAAGGATATATATATATATATATATATATATATAGGGCTAACATTATCACTCACATACACAAATTTCAGATCCAAAACTCAAGAGAGTAAGCTTGGTTCAAGATAGAAACAATTAGAACAGCTGATATGGGATGATTTTGCTAATGGCAATTAATAAAAAAAAGCAACTCAATATAGCCAATCAAATATTCGAGGGAGCTAACATCCAACTATTGGAAAGAGTTATGCCTGATTTAAATCTTAGCTCATGGAGATTTCGTAAGGAAATTTTTATCGAGGATCTCCTACGAAATTCTAACCTGAGTCCATTTAAAAATGTAAAAATCAATACTGGATATCTCCGATAAAGAAATCTTTACCTATTTAATAATGAGAGGTTTTTTACACAAATCCTTTTAAACCTTGAAGGAGACAAGAAGATCCTATTACATAAAATCTTTAAAAGAAGGGAGGTTAAAGCAGTTGGCTCTATAGCTATGGATTTAATTAGACAATCTTAATTAAGTACAGAATCTTCAGCTAAAAAGAAATGGGAAAAAGATTTGAACCAAATAATTACAGACAAGGTATGGTGTTCCCCGTTGAGATTAATGAAAAAACATACATGGCCTTAATATTATAGAAACATCATTTAAAGTACTTCATAGATGGTACCTAGTTCCAACTAGATTGGCTAAAATATCTTTGACTAATTCCCCGCTCTGTTGGAGATGCCTAGCCCATGAAGGATCTATGATACACATTTGGTGGAAGTGTCCAAAAATAATCACATTCTGGGACTCGATATATTCGACTATGTCAGTTTTTAACATAAATTTAAAGAAATCCCCAGAAACTGGCCTTCCTCACCTCAATTGGGGTAAATTCCCCTCAAAAAACATTAAATATTGATTCTTCATTGTCTTATGTCAGCAAAAACGATTATTGCAAGATCTTGGAAACAAACATTAAACCCAGATTTTTCTCAGTAGAAAAAAAAAAAACTTATATTCCAACTCGAAATGGAGAGGGGAGTTTCCTACTCAAACAATAACTTAGACTATATTCACCATTATGACCAATGGATTAAAAAGATAAGAGAAACATTTTAATAATTCTCTATGAATTGGAAATGTGTAAATCTTGATATGCTTTGTCTACATAGGTTACTTAACCCAAGAAATATATTAAATGATACTATATATATTTAACTTTTTTATTGTATTGTCTATGTACAATGTTTGTCTTTTTATATTTGTTTTTTATGTTGTATGTACAATTTAAAAAAATGTAATAAAAACATTTGAATCCTAAATCTGTGTCTTTGATAGAAAATGATGATACGTCTCACTTATATAACTTTGCCCGGTCACTAGACTTGTGCATTAATGCTTTTCAGAGTGCTTGAACAAATCAAATTCCTTTTAATTTATGTCAAAGCGAATCGATTGTACGGGATTTACCTGTGAAGTCTTATTTAATGAATAAATATAACTTTTTTTTACGGCTCAGTTTTCCCCTCTTTTTATCATATATTATGTTAAGTGTATATTTTGCAGTACTCTGACCCATTTTCATGTCCTTTTGATTCATCGGATTACAAGTGTTTGGTACCGAAATTCTATCAAGCCTAACTGACATATAGCCAAAATATGGGTATTTAGAAAATTGTTGTGTTTTCAGGAAAAATGGCTTTGTCAAGCCAAATATTCTCGCTGTGCACAAATTTATATATTTCTTTGTTAACCATGCTTGGTTAGTTATGCATGTACTACAAGATAAGAGACTGCAATTGGTTCTAAAACATTGAAGGAGATATATTAAAATTCAATCCTTCAATATTAGAGCACACACACACGATATGGTTTTACATGTGTCCTTGAGACTATACAATATCAATGTTGCTAGGACGAAAAAAAAAAAATAAAAAAAATAAAGAAAATATTTGGTTGTACTGGTCCCTAGGAAGGGCATAAAACAGTCTAGACATTAGCTTTATGCCTTGAACTGTTTTCTCTTTTGTATAGCCTGATATTTTGTGATCGTGTGATTCAAAATGTTTTATGGAAAAAATCTGTACGTATGTACTTATTGTAATTATGAATCATTATTGCTTGGTTAAGGGTCTCCCCTTCTTTGTTTTATGTAGCAAAAGTGACCCTGATAGGTGCATTTTCCTGCCATTTACTTCACAAATCATGAGAGAAAAAGTAACCAACAAAGGGAAAAAGAAGAGTAGCAGTAAAAAAAAAATCATTATTTTCAGTTGGTGTCTTTAAGCCATCAATTATTTTTTTTTCATCAATCATCTCTCCAAAACAAATCTCCAAGTCTATGTTTTTATTTATTTTTTAACATTTTTTGTTAACCCCTTAAGGACTGGACTGTTTTTGCGATGTTGTACATTTGCGACCAGGAATATTTTTACACTTTTCTGGTGTTTGTGTTTGGCTGTAATTTTCCGCTCTCTCATTTACTGTTCCCATACAAATTATATATTGTTTTTTTCA